CCCCAAAACCCCAAAACCCCAAAACCCCAAAACCCCAAAACCCCAAAACCCCTAGAAGCCCAACAGATATTGAAAAATTAATAAACTAGTACTTTCTTCAGGGTATCCCGAGATTTAGGGATTATATTCCTGATAATGAAGGGAAAAGATATTGGACAGTCAAAGAAGAGCTTGATTATTAGGCAAAGATACTATTCAATAATTTGGTTTATTCTAAACAATATCGGATAATTTTGGTTGTATAAGCTAGTTCTCCATCAGTTTCGATTGCTTGTAGTACTCAATTGCCCTTTTAAGAGTCTTGTTCGGATAAATACTGTTTCTGTTGATGGGCTGTCTTGTTAAAGGATCCCTTGGGTCTTTTAGCATATATTGTTGCAGAGACTCTCTTTCGTAACTATTCCCTGAAATTGTAGCAACAGGATCCTTCATTACTTCGTAAGTAAAGATTCATTCCAAGTTTGCTGGGTTTAGTCTCTCTTTTTCTATATAAACATTAAGCATTGCTAAGTTAAACCCAATTGTTTCTCATCAATGAAAATAGTGTCGCAAAATCTATTTGTCAACTCTACCTCCAGCCGCTAAAATTTGGCTAGATAAGGCATTTCTGATATTTTTAGCAGATTCTACCAATTTCTTCAAATTTCAATGGTGTACCTTGAACCTAGACTGATTAGCAAAGTTCATTACTCTGCCTTCAATCTGGTCAATTTTCTTCTTAATTCTGATCATTAAATTCTCTTCATGCTTTGCTAATTCTATAAGCTCATGTCATTCCTCATAATCATGAATGTTCTGCATGAGCTTTGCCTTCCTGTCATCAAGTATCTTTGCCATCTTATGCTTGAATTCAAGCAAACGAGTGATCTTAAGATTTTGGTCTAGTCTCTGCTTCTCCTTATGCGCATTGATGATCTTATTTATCTAAAGGTTAGATGTCAGTTTACTGATCTCAACGATGTTTATTGGAGTCTTCTTATTCTGACAGACTCTAATAGCCTTGTTATAATATTCAATAGCTTCTTCCAAAAACAACGAATTCATTTGGTGATGGGCTAATTTTATACTACAATCTCCCATGATTATGATTGCTTTTATATTCTCAGGATCAAGGGATAGAGACTGAGCTCAGCTCTCAATACACTTGTCCAATTGATTCTTTGAAAGATCTTCAGGTAGACTTTCAGCTATCTTAAGGTGACATCTAGCAATATTTGAATATATAATAGACGATTCGCTGTGCTTCAAAGCTATCTGGTAGAAAGAAATAGCAAGCTCATACTTTCCCTTAAGGAACTCATCATTTCCTTGGGTTTTGATCATTTCCGCCTTTTCTTTACGTTGCTCAAGTGTATAAGGGTTAGCATCTTCTATTAGGTGTGAGTATTATTAACTATTAACCAAATTACCTCTTTTCTGTACCTCTTCTTTGTTCTTTCTCTTATTTATATTCCATATCTCTAAGGGTCTTCTTGAACTTCTTATGAGCTTTCTTTCCTAGATTTGACATTGATCCTGATTGCTTGTTTCCCATGTTTGATTTTATATAAAAAATGCAATAAATCTTTCTTAAGATGGGGTTTTGGGGTTTTGGGGTTTTGGGG